TTTTTTGTATATCCTTCAATACACAGCTGACGAACCTAAAAAGAAAAAGAACAGGACAAAGAAGAAAAAGTCTACAAAAATTCGAGCCGGTTCAGGCAAGAAAACAGCGAAAGGAGCAAACAACACGCCTGAACAGACGAAAGATGAAACGGGAGCCATGGAGGCGAATGACACTGGCGAAAGCGATGAAAATAATGATGATGGAGAAGACGAGGAAAAGACACCAGGGTTACAAATCTCTTGAAGACTCAAAAGCTGTATCTAAGGAGTTTTTTGCACTCGTTGTTGTCCAGTGGCAAAGTAGACGAAGGTACTTCCGGCGGAAGTCATCAGTTCAGCTTGACGCACTAAAGTGAAACATATACGCTGACCAAGGTATATGCTGACCAAGGAAATGGTGATCGTCAGCTCAATCAATTCTGGAAATAGAACCGGTTCTCAAAGCTACCAACCTTTGTCCAGTGATTGAAGCCGAAAATACGTGTTGACACACGTCTTTTGAGAACTATAGAATTTTGTCTTATGTGGCTATTTTGTCATTTAAAGTTGCCTAACTTAGTTCGCAACTCGATCTCGCTTGCGGCAGAAACCGCGAAAGGTTCTTACGGCCAAGAAAAGCGTCCGTTTTCTTCGGTTCCCTTCGATTAGTAACCTGACTTGCAGTCCGGCTACACCTGTGTTATCGTCTGTGTAGCCTGAGGCAACAGGCGTTGTTGCATGCGATACTTCGGTCGCCACGAATATTACGCGGCGGTCAGAAGGAGTGCACAAAACAGGGCCTGTTAACTCGACAGTCACCGGAAAACACGTTAATCGTTAGTGACGTAAGGTGGATTTTGGAAGAAACAGTTTATTGTCAAGTTAGTGTCAATATATGAAATAGACTGGAGAATGCCTGATCGTTGGTTAACCATATTATTGAATATATAGCGCTAGGTTACAGTCCTTATGTGGAAATCTGATATACAAGGCCGAAAAATGAGTTAATAAAAAAAATATCCAAATTAAAAGCTAAGATACCTGACGAAAGATTTCTCTGAGAAAATTTGGAAAACTTAAACAGAGATCGTTGTAAGCAGGCAGTGATCGTTTCATTTTTTTTCCCTCTATGATAGAACCCTTCCATATGAAAAGGACCAGGGTGCTCGTCGGAGATTTTGAAAAGAACCCCTTAGAGGTTCTAAGATCCTGTTTTGTGGACGTGGCTTGAATTTTTTTCACTCCTGAGAGTTACCAATTCTAAAACAATACATTAACTGACACTTTCATGATTTTTAATAGCAATAAAGACGATTTCTTCGAATACCTTCTACTCGTAAAGTTCATTGTCTAATATCTCCTGGGAAAGACCCCCTTACCACATAACATATTTCAAACTGTTTACAAGTAAAATATTTCAGAAATCAAATTTTGGGGAATTATATGATGACATCAGATTCGTGTCTGAAACTGGCGACATCTACCTCTGTGTAGGGCTACACAAACTATTGACCAAGAGTCCCAGGAAAAACGTGTGCTATGTTATATTCATATGACACCTTATGACGAAGTACGATTGCAAGTTGTTTTGAAACTTCTGATTGTTTGCTAGGGTGAAAACCTGTACTCTGATCTTAAAATCGACGACACAAGTGTACAGTGATAAAGAAGCACAAACAAACTTCTCGGAAGCCGTAAAGATTGAGGAATGGCCACATTTCGACAAGATTGAAAGAGAATGAAAAAAAAAAGAAGGATAAATGAAGTTAAGTTTTACGGCTAAGATGGATCCACCACCAACCTTCCTCTGAAACGCAGACGTTTTTTGTTCACGTACGGTAATCGGAAGTTGTTCTTGATCAGTTTCCGAACGTTCACTCCTATTGGTGAGTTGGAAAGATCTCGTTCATTGACGTTGTCGATGAAATGTTTTTAATCGCCGGCACCAAAGAGGAGATAATCTGACTTCCAAATGCCCTGCACATAACCTCACTCTCCCATCCCCTATCCTCACTTTATATTAACACATCCATTCACAATTCTGAGACGCGGAACCGGTCCGTTTGAAGAGCGTTTGTGTCATCTGCTGTGGCGGCCAACTTCTTCAATGGTTCCCTAGTTTCCTAAGAGGTCGGATACAACGGGTTGTTTTGCGTGGAACGCAGGGATTTTTTTTTTTTTTTTTTTTTTTTTTTTTTTTTTTTTGTTT